GAGTGGGGAATGGCATGCACAATTTATCTCGTGGTTTAGGGTTTCTGTCTCACAGCTTTACTGTTCTTTTACTCTCTCATGGTGTTGTCTCGTATTTCAGTAAAACATAAACAAAGCTACAAAAAACTCACAACTCATAAAACAGGAACCCCCTGTCCTCTGTCCCGTTGGATTCGTCTGATTTAGAAATAATTGTGAATTGTTACTCATACTCTCCAAATATTGTAATTGTTTCCATGCTCATAGTTTTCTACGTCAGTAAGTCATTTAGATGCTGAACGTATTGAGAACCTTATTGTCAAATAAAGCACACTGCAGAGAAGATTTGTGTTTGTGAGGTTCGTCATCTGAATATCAGAGTGCATCGTTCACAGAATAACAGAGAATAGGAGAAGTAGAGCTCAAGTCGAGTCAGCATTTCAGACTACTGTATATTTCATAACCATTTATGGACCAACTTTTCGGTAAATAGACACTATTATATCTGTCCTATAAGTATCATCATTCATTTTCCATTACACTCCTGTCCCTTTACAAGGAAGCTTAGGTTTTCTTTTCAAATCCATCAAACATGTTGAGTGGGATGTAGAGAAAAGTACAGAAAGTCTTTTTTTTCTGTCCTCTGTGTTTTCTCTGTTCTCTGTGATCTGACCTGGAGCGAGGCCATCATGACCTGACTGCTGCTTGGTGAGAGTATTTTTGTATAGAAGTGGAAAATAGATTAACTTCTAGAAAACAGAACTTGTAAATTACAGCGGGGACACATTCTATGATTATACTGTGTGAATGGGTGTTTCTGTTACTGACCATCATTTTTTGTCTTCCCTATGGTAAGAGGGAAAGAGGAATATATAGACCTGAGTTGATCCCAGTGGTGTACAACAGCCCACAGCCTCATACAATAGTTGTTGTTTTCTTCTGTTTGACGCTCTCAGGCTTCACCACGGCAGCTCCATTAGCTGTAAAATGCTCATCCATTAAGTCAGGCCGTTGATATGAGGTGAATAAAACACACCTTGCTTTCATTACACCCAGACATCCATTTGTATTGCTCAACGTGTTCCCTCTGCTTTCAGCCAAGACAATGCTACTCTGAATGATGAGCAGATCTGTCAGTCAAACCTCTGTGGTTTTTAAACCCTTGGTAAACAAAATAAAAATCCCCTCCAGTGTGGTGTGACCGTGTTGGACGATTTAACCATGAATGTGTGTGTACAAAGAATGTGCAATAACTGAAAAAAGATATGATTCAACAGAGGAGGAGGATGACACTCACAAAATGGTTCCTGGTTTTGACGTAGACTCTTAACACATAATGTTACACATAGAGTCATACAGCACACAAAAAACATGCAGCGCAGATCTAATCCTTACTCCACCATCAAAACTATTTCATTCCAGTCATCAGCCAGACAGATGGTATCCATAACGTAACTATTTGTTGTGTCAAGTTATTCAACCACAATTCTCTGATTCACTGGTCTGGGTTACATTTGCAGCTTCGTACAGCTCGTTGAAAATACAGATTGATAGATACCAATTCAAATTGACAGCTGGGTAATGTAAGTCTGATAAATTCATATAAAGCCAGATAACTGGCTAAGATCAGTTTTTTTTATCATTTAAGACAACAAACACAAAGGCTGGGACTTGCTTTTTCTTGTCTAAAACAGGGGTTCCCAAACTTTGCATACCAAGGACCACTGTGTAGCACTGACCTCTGGCTGTGATCCTTCTCTTGCAAAATGTAGTAAACTATTTGTACATTGCAATGGCAGATACAAACAAATAAACACACACGTTCTTAATGTATGTCCTTATTTCCATAACCTGTCTTGTTATTCAGTCATTTAATTCAATATCTGGTTTTGTAAAACATAAGTCATTCATCATTTCTATCTTAACAATAATCAGCATTAACAGTAAATATAAAATGATGTTGTCTCTTGTTATTTGTTCATTGCTTCCACATGTATTTCTTATGTTAGAGGCAGTCTAACCTTACATTTAAAGAGGAGGTAGGTAGTTTCAGCGGCCCGGCAGCGTTCTCTTATATCAGTGTCAATAATAGCGGCAGCTGGATTCTGGTTGGCCAGAATTGTCTGTGTTATTATTGTGTTTTTATTAAAACACTTGCATTGGAAAAAACACATTGATTTTGAGGGGTTAATACGACTTTAAAGAAATATGTTTAAATGTTATTGTCAAAAATAATGTTATATGATTTTAAATTTTTAGGACACTAATTAGCGCCCTGGGGGATCCCCGCTTTGAAAAACACTGGTCTAGACAACATTTTCCTGTACGTATACCCTCATAACACGTCTCCACTACAATCCTCTTCAGTTGTCTGCTTTCCTTTTTTTTCCTTTAAGATTTTATTTTTGGGCTACTTTTGTTTTATTGGGAGGACAGCTCAAGAAAGGAAGGGTAAATGAGGAGGACAAAGGGAGGTTGACTAGGCTAAAGGGACCGAGGGTCAGGGTCAAGCCGGGGTCTGCTGCATTCAGGACTGTGGCCTCTGAACATGGGACACAGCCTCTAACCACTGAACCAAAGCAGCCCCCCAGTCCACTTATTAGTTTTATTTGTAGAGACACATATCACAGCATTACACATATTAACACTGGAAGGGGGTCTTTTAAATGAAGTGTCTTCAGACAAATTTGATTTAGTTTTCTTCCAGAGAGCAGTGTTCCTTGGCAGAAACATTTCATCTCATTTTTCATTAATATAATAATTTATTAAATCACAATTGACAATAACAGGGTGAGGATGTCATAAAAAAGGATGCCCTGATGTTTTTACTGTATTCACTCAAGCAAAAGTATTCAGGGAGATGTCTGATGTGGCATGTGATCAAACCTTAGCATGCCCCCTAGTGGTTGAAACAACATACTACACTGCAAAAGAAGTTCAAATAATTATTTTTCAGCAGTTACCAAAACATTTATTAAAACAGTTCACTCATCTATTATACCCACAGTTAAGTCTCACTTTCCACAACAGTTTCAAAATGCTTTAGACAAATGAGGCTGTAACATTTGCATAATGTTTGCATATCATACCGAGCTGGACTCTTTTTCAACCGAACACTTTTTTTGCTTCTGACCTAGCAGTGCCCAGTGATGCAGTGAAAGTTTTGCAGACTTTTTGTCAAAAGAAGTTCCTGATTCAAATTAAAATGCATTTTTTAGCATATAGATTTGTTGTGACCTTTTCAATGTGTCTATCACTTCTGTCACATGACATCTTAATAGTATTTAAGCACTGTCCTTTGTTTCTGTTATCTATGTCCTGACACATCCCTGTTAAATAAAGGATTTTAATACTACATCATGGTGCCTCGGACTTTCAGTTTAGACTGCCTTTCTTCACAATGAACTTTGTCATTTATTTATTTGACTTCTGTCCTCTGTTCTTGAAGAGCATATACATATTTTGACCCAGTGTAGCACTCTCTCCAACCTTTTCTCTTATATTAGGCTATTTGAACTCCTATCGAAATATTTTAAATTAACTGATGAGATGTTCCGGTAATTTAAAATCTGTCATGTGTGGCACCAGTGGCTGAGTGGCTAGTTTGTGCGCCCCATGTACAGAGGCTGTAGCCTATAGTCCTAGAAGTGGGCGGCACGGGTTTGAATCTGACCTGGGGCTCCTTTCCAGGAGTCATTCCCCGCTGTCTCACTTTTCTCTCCCTGATTTCCGACTCTATCCACTGTCCTATCTCTCCAATAAAGGCACAAAAAGACCAAACAATCTGTAACACACATGACTGAATAAATAAAATCATAGAAGCTCATCATTCAGTGTCTTCTAAAATAGCTATAATCTTAATGTAGGCTACTAGAAATTGAGTGTGATCCTTCTGTGAAAGGATTGTGTTCTGATTGAGGCCTTATTGTTTATCTTGATTGTTAGTTTAGAATTGTGTTTCAGATAGATTGGCTTCTCTTTTGTTTTGTGTTGACATTCTGCTTCAGTTTGTTCATAAAGCCAGTTTAACTTTGCTTATATTTAGTTCCTATTTCTTTCCCTGGGTTTTAATGTATTGTTACTCCCCTCATCCCCTAGCCATCTTGGGGAACGTAACAGCTACATACCAAAATAAAAAAGCGTATCACTTCTGTATTCTAGGCCTACACGTGGACAAAAATGAAGACACATAGTCAAAAAGCATACCCTGACTTATTATGTAGGCTATCTAGTATAGGAAAATACTTCATAAAATAAACTTAATTTGTTTTAATTTGTTAATTAATATGTTTTTTTCGTTGCTGAAATTTGGCCTGGTGGTTAATAATACATTCTTCTTCTGTATAAAAACCTAAAAACATATTTTTTTTTTGGTTACAGGGACTTTAAAGAAGACTCCCTACTAGAAATGATGCCCCACAAACACAGGGATATGTTTCCTTACGGTGGTTATTCTAATTTACCTCTACACAATCAGACTTCTTTTTAAACCGATGACCACTCCCCCTGCTGGTAGTTAGAAATAATGCAGGTCTAAAGTAGCCTACTAGATTTATTGGCTTCATCTATGACTGATGTATGGAGGCTATATCCACTTTAAATGTAGTCTTCATGCACAGCTTTGGCATCCCTAACATTGTTGGATGGAATGGGATGCCTTCCGAAATATTACATTTAGCCTGTCATATAGAATTTGGTTACCTTCATATTGATGGGCCTTTACATTAAATCATATTCTTTCAAGTCATCTTTTCAAGCAAGAATATAGAGTGCGCACATGACCAATAATTGACGAGTCGGACCAAAACTCGAACAATGCCGTTTACGAGCATCCCTTGAATGCATCGTTAGTTTGCTTGCTGTAAAAGGGGGAGAAAGGAAGTGCTGCTATTGCAACATCGCTGCCACGTCTGAAGCTCCTCTGCTGCAGCGGAGGAAGAAGAAGCAGCGGATGGTCTGAGGGGCCGGGATGGGCCGGTGATGGGCGGAGGTGTTGGGGTGGGGAGGGGGGGGTGTGGGGGATGAGAGGGAGAGAGGTGGGAGTGACCGAGGAAACACACAGAGGAAACACGTAGAGCCACAACACAGCGCCACACTCCCCCGGCTGAGGCACAGCTGAGCTCTAGCTTTCTGGAGGATCCTGCCCGCCGGAGCTCCATTGTTTGCACGGAGGTGGGGTGGTGGTGGTGGTGGAGGGGGACTCGTTTCTGCGGTTTTCCGTGGGTTCCCCATGCTCAGTTCAGGCAGAATGGAGGAATTTGTGACCGAAGAGGAAGAGCCATGGTACGACCAGCAAGACCTGGAGCAGGGTAAGATTAAGACTCCCTCCTCCTCTGCCTGCAGCATCCTCACTGTAAAGCTCACCGGTCAGCTGGCCTCCACATAACAAAGACTCTCTGTCGAGTAGAGAGACGGCAGAGATGTCATGGAGATGTCCTCCGCTTCACTTCCATGTAATCAGACATTGAAGCAGCCTTTAAAGAGCAGGCTGTGCTCCTTTTTTGACAACAATGCATTGAAAGCATGCCAAGCTGGGCCTCAGATTGCTGGGCGCATCAGACAGGATGTTAGACCCTAAAGAGCTGGAAAGAAGGCTGCACTGTATGGAAAAGTTCAAATTGCTTTAAAGATTAAAGAACAATTTCTGGTCCTGGCTTCTGAGAGCCTGTATCTGTTAAGTATCTTGAGGTTTGGGACTGTTGGTCGGTCCAGAAAGGGCCTGTGCGAGATTATGATGGTAATTTCCCTTTACATGTAGCCTAATATGTCAATACAGAGACCAGACTTTACAAAAGTAGGACTACTCTGTATGAAACAGTAGAAAAATCAAGGTCAAGGTTTAACCGCCTATTTAATTTATTTCTATATTGGAAGGACCGTCTTCTTATTTTTCTTTATTTTACAAATCAATGCAGATACAACTTGTTTTGCAAGTCTCAACTGTTTACTGCTACATATGCCACATTTTGAGCTTTTATTTTGAAGTATAAAGTATTATTGCTTATCATGTTTTTATCAAGCTCCACTTTTTTTTCATTTTGTAATAATTGGATAACTGTTCTGACAGACTGTGACAACATCTTCCTCTGTATTACTACCTATATGTAATTTGACATCTTGGTGTTAATGTTTCTTTTTATGAACTCCCTGAAATGATTCGCTGGTCACTAAATAAGTTTTGGGGTCTATAGAACCAACAAGGCCTCTAAACACTAAAATATAAAAATGTACTTTAATATATAGACAAGTTAAAACACAAACTCCAAACACATGGAGGCCAAATCCTCACAAAGAAACAACAGAAAGCGAAACATTCATCCAAAGTGTGAAAGATTCATTTTCTGGCAAACCGATGAGTGCTTAAAAAAAATCAGCACAACCTTGAAAAAAACATGGAGCCACCAGGAAGGTTTCTCTCTTCACTCTTTGTCTTATTAACCTAATTCACAGTCAGCTCATTAACCTCTCTCTTTGCATCAAGGCCACCTGCTCCATACGCCGACAGTGAGAGCGACTGATCGTCACATCTGGGGCGTTCATGGCCTTTCTATTTGAATAGAGATAACTAGCTTGAGTGGCCTATAGAGGAAGAGGCTGTCAACTGAGCATTCAAACATCATTTTAAAAGGTTTCCAGTTTTATGTCAGTGAGGTTTGAAAGTCTTTTTAATCACATTTACAGTTTGTGTGTGTTACATGAATACCTCATAACACGACCCCGAACAGAAAAGGTTGGTAATTTAATGTTGCCGTGCAGCGGCACTATAACAATCACTCATGTACAGGAAGCGACATTTGGAATGAGGTCATCATAAATGGTAAATGGACTTGAGCTTCTTTAGCGCTTCTCTAGTCTTCTGACTGCTCAAAGCACTTTCACACCACATGTCCCACCGACACATTCTATCAACACAGCAGAGGTTGCAAATGTAAAGTGGCCATCAGAAGTAATTCAACCCATTCATACACATTCACACTCCGCCGACGAAGCAGTGGGAGCAACCTGGGGTCAAGTGTCTTGTTAAAAGACGACTCTACCACCTGAGCCACAGTCGTACCTTGTATCTTATTTTGAATAAATGACAGCAGCCATTATTCAAACACATTCATGCTTTTTAGTATATCTCACAAGTTAACTTGAGTATTTGTTCATTTTCAACCCTACAATCTTCAGCAGTATTTTTTTATCGCTCATCCATCGGGCGTCATTTGTTTCAGACGTACAGGCTTCACCCACTCAGGACTCTTTGATTGCACTTTAGATGTTGATATGTGATACGTGATGTTGTTTTTGTGCTGTGCGCGAACTGATGCTTGTTTACACAACTGAAGTTCCTAATGGATAAATCAAAGTTACTGTAATAGAATTGAATCATCATCGATTATCGGGCAAGCCGTTCCATTTATGGGATATTTCAGTTTGACATCGATGTTGATTTCAACAGGCCTGAGGTGATCTTTGTTTAGCTATGATGAAGCTAGACCTTATCCAAGTTGAGTGTTCACCACTTGCATGGATATTACTATGCAGAGATACTCAGATGGTTGCTCTCTTAATGAAAACCAACATTGTTAGAGAATATGTAACATTATTATACTAGTGCGTTCAATGATCTGCTCTGCTGTGATGCTCAGCTACACGTGCTGCAGACAGTGCAGAGAGTAAGTCCCTATACCCTCCTTGACATGATGACACTAATTTAAACCAATATTTTCAGTCTGTGGTTGATCCCCGCTGGTCCAAAGTTAGATTAAGACAGCAATTCCAACATGGATGCGGCCGTCCATTAGACTCATTTGCTGCCTCCGTAGCAGACGGGCAACATCACTCAGGGTTCGTCCACAAATATTTACAGTCTATGATTTTAAACTCAGCCCCAGCATTCATCTGCATTCTATTGTTTTCAAATACATGTACATGCTTAACATATGCCAATATAGATTTGTTAGGCCCGTATTATACCAACAACATGGGTCAGGCTCTGGGGTTAAATTTGTGTAAATGAAACTTAGTCAAAGCATGATGTTTTTTTTTTTTTAAATTTGCAGCAGTCTCATGCTGATGTTCATGGCTCCATTATATAATTTCCCTACAAACTGACTCATCCCAGACAGAGATCCTAACTGTCTCTGCACCACGTACCTCATTTCCTGCCTCTCTTCATCTCGTAATCACTCCTCCTCATGGCAAGTAATCATAGCGGTACATTTCCGGAGCTGAAAAGGTGCTGATGCTGCGATTTTACTGCATTGAAAAACATGCAGGCCAAAATAGGCAGACATGCACCTGCACTGGAAGGATGTTCTGGATTAGGTTGGCTACATCTTTTCCTGTCACTAGTCATTGGATTTCAGGATAAAACTATAGTCTTTTGGGCTTATTGAGGAGGAATCTAAGAACACCGAGAGGACAAACGTTCCAAAATGTCAAGATGGCCGTTGTAGAAATGACCTGCGTCTTTATTTGAGTGTCCATGCTGAGAGCTCTGCGTTGACTGAGAGGAACGTCAGACCTCTAAAGAGCAGAGCAGAGCTTGAAAGAGCTGACTTCCTGAGCTCGTGTTTTTTTTGTGCGACATTTCAGGATGCCACGAATCCTTCAGAGAGAGAGAGAGAGAGGGAGAGAGAGGGATGGACACCACTGTGATTGTGTTACAGTGTCTTGTTTTCATGCAGGAATCACTGACAGGCTGATCAGTAAGACCCGAGTTCTGATGTGGAAAAAAAAAAAAAGGCCCTTTCACGAGGGTTCATAGGAAAAAGTCGCTTTTCTCTGAAGAATGGAAGAAGTTGCTGGCACCCATTTTTCCTCGCTGTAGTGTTAGTGTTATCTGAAATAGTTCAGATAATTAGTTGTTCAATTGACTATGCCTTTCTTAGTAGCCTTGTGATTCTGCAAAATGACGTAGCATGAAGCTGCTGATATAAAGCAAAGAATATGAAGCCACCGGCTACTATCTTAGCATAAGGAAAGGGAAAAAGCTAGCCTGTCTTTATTGGAAACTGGACAAAACTATCCGAAACACAACTCAAAATCAGACTGCTTGACGCTTAGTCTGTCTTTCTTTACCAAAAAGGAGGTTTCAGAATAAATATTTTAGTTTTAAAGGCAGTGATGTCCCGCCTAGTTGCACCTCAAGTCTTGTTGTCACAGTGAGGTAAATCTTCTGATGGGTTTATTTTGGATCCTTTAAGGTCCTGACTCACCAACGAGATCGTCAGCTGGTTGTCCTAGTTGGACCATCAGTGAGCGATCAACACTCGTTTTTTGCAGTGTGTCCCACTCCGTCGCTACCCCTCTGCCTTTTTAGGGCCTTGAAAGACCAGGGGCTGACAACGCCAGCGCCATTTTCAACTTTTTTATCAGACATTATTCTCGATGAGTACCTATTACAACAAGAGCGGTGTGTTCAAGTGCAACTTTTTGGCCAAGACAAAGGCGTCATGAGGCAACGCCATGAGTTTGCCTTCGTCACCACTTGTTCTTTGCTATCTGCTTGGTGTGTCACTGTCAGGGCCTTTTAGAAAGCAGACAGCTAACTGTTTCACCTTGACTAAGCTAGCTAGCTGCTGGTGGTTGCTCCATATGTAGACCAGAGTGGTGTTCATCTTCTTCAACTATTGGCAAGAGATTCTCTTATAGTTTTTGGGAAGGAAGCTGTTCATTACTGAGGAACATGAGACAGATATCAAACTTGGAAAGTGATGTCCCCTTGTGGCAATGCAAATGTTTAGATGATGTCGTTAGAAATAACGCATTTCACCTCCAGCCCTATCATGCAGTCATCTTATTTTGATGCGTCTTTGTTTGGGCCTATTGTGTGCTAGCCAGAGTTGCCGTTGGCCCAGGACCAAGGAGTAAATATGAGGCTCTACCAGCTGAGACTCGAATCTAATGAGAGGTTTCCTCGACTGTTGGAATACTAAGTAATTAAACCAACCAAGCACAAACTATTATAAAGCAAAGGGTTCAACTGCTTAATGTTGCAGCATTAAATCAGTCTTTTGGTCAGAAAAGCTGTTTGCTAAAGCACTTCACATTCTCTTCTGTATGTGTCTTGAATCGTGTAAAGAAGTCGGTTTTGTGAGACGGTACAATAAGAGGAGGAGAAGTCCTGCTTCCCACATTCCAGTGATTCTCACGGGGGAAATGCACCTACAAAAACAACACTTGCCTGTGGAAGACATCACCACAGACAGCGTGGAAATGGATTTTCCTGTCTACATGTGCTGCTTTAAAAAGACATGTTCAGAAGTGGTTTGCAATAGCTGTAGAGAACTGATCACTTTACAATTACCCTGGAGTTAACTGATTGTAAATTGCAAAAGAATCTTTTGAACAAAAAAGTCCCATCTGGCTGCAGCTGGTTTCTTTCAGCATGCAGGGAAATGTATCCGTCATACATGATGTGATCACGCCTGAGCTTCAGCCTCAGTGGTTTCATCCTGTTTGGGTGGAGCTTCAGGTCTGTGTGGAGCAGACAGACAGTTATCTGTGGGGAATATCGGCTTGTTTGTGAGTGCGCTGAATTGTATTGATTGGCCGTCTTCTCCTCCTCCACTCTCACTTCGTCTTCCTCCTTCTCCTGTATTCTCGTTTGGCTTTGCAGAGCTCACTCTTCATCTTCGACGGCCGTAGAGAAATCAACATTTTAATGCAGATTCTAACAGTGTTTGTATTATCTGTTTTTTTTTTTGTGCTGGATATTTTTCAGAAGCTAGCAAGCTGTCTTGTATTTTCACAGCATTTGCCATCGTGTCTTTTCAATCTTTTTTCTCAGTTCTTTTTTTTTTTTTTGTCAGTCAACAACAAATCCTGAAAAAGAAAAAAAATCTCTGTTGTAGCTAAATGAAAATACCAGCGTGCCGCTAACTCCCCTTTGTGTGGCAGCTAAAAATAAAAAAAATGTTGCGTCATCACAACATTATATTATAGACGATGATATTTATTACTTTCTTTCAGGCCTTTGTGGTCACTGTATAAAATTCAGTGGGCTGCGAGTATTCATCCTGAAAGTTTTCAGTGCTTTTGGTTGTATTGTACAGTAGTCCCCCGGGGCCTTCCTAGTGAAATCCTCCTGGCAGAGAGTAACAGCTGGGTGGTTGGACTCCTCTCTCTCCAGCACAGAAGAATCCAGTGGTACCTGAGCAGCTGATGCCAAAGCCCCACAGGAATTCATTAAGTTATCAGCAAAGAGGGAAGTGTGTGAATAAGTCCATATGGAGCTCAGTTTCCTCCTCATTAGTTTAATTGAAGGAGGTGAGGACTGCCAGGTAGAAGAGGAACATGATTTAACAACATGCAGTGACTTAAATAGAGTTGTGCGATCCTATGGCTAATTAATTACTCAAAAAAATCCCACTTTGTTTTATCTGTCAATACCCATTTTTACGTTTATATCATTTAATTTGTCAATGACGTCCACACACTGACACAGCTTCAGGGTATCTGTATCTAAATCATCTTCATCAGAAGGAGAATAAAGAGTAACCATACAAGGGTCAAAATGAATCATTAGTTTTGCTATACGCAACAAAAATGTCTGAAAAACAAATCATGGCTCACCTGTTACAGGCTGCAAGAGCTCCTAATCATTTATTTCTTTGTCAAAATAAGTTACATAGGAAGTGAGAACTTTCAATTTACAATATGACATATCTTATTATTAACAGCAAATCCACTCATAAAGTCTAATTATTATTACTTCTCCATTGTAAAAAAAAAACAGTAGACACAGTAGATTAATTCAGGCACTGCAGGCAAGAATTCGCTGGGGTCACATTGCCGTCTTTCAATTTGAACTTTACTATTTTCTTCCTGTGTCATTTAAAATTACCTGAGCATCCTCAGCTCATATATATGAGCGCCTGGTTAAGTGCATGATGTCTCTATTTGCTCCATCAGCTGCACCGGTGGTGAATGTTGCAGTGATAAAAGTCAGGACTTGGCATCCGTCCTGGTGAGCAACATTCAATATTAAAGACGGAGCCAGGGCTGAATGAGAGATGACTTCCTTGGCTGTTCAGTTCTAGTCCTCTGCTTTCTTTCTGAGAGGTCGCAGACCACATTTAGCTGACTCAGTCCCGACAATGTAGGCCATCAACATCAATACAGCTGAGTCAGAGCACAGTTCGAATACAGCATGATGACAGTGACTCATCGTAATTTGGACACGCATTAGCAGGCCTGAAGGACAAAAAAAAAAACCACAGGAGTGCTTTGCAATTATAGAAATTAACTTTCAAAAAGCTACTATTATTTAACACATACATTTACATATTTCCCAGTCTGAGTCTCCAGCGTTTCACTCATTCTCTTTTCAAATCTCAGTGCAGGGGCCTCTCTCTGAATAGTCTTGGCATCGTTCTCTGACCTTCATGTTCAGTCAGTGGAGAGAAGAGGACCTGCAGGGAGACATGCAGCAGGGAGAAGTGCTGTCTCTCCGTCCTCCTGCACACCTCCCTCTATAATTGAACCAGTCCAGAGCAGACTGAGACGACATGATGGCCCCTTTGATCATTTTGTCAGATCCTGTTATAACCTTGCCTAAAATAGAACAAAGGGCTCTATTAATCACGACAGCGGGTTATTCCAAAATGCACGGCAGATTTTTTTTTTTTTTTTGTTAGATTAAATTCTCCCTTCTTGTCTTCTCAATCCTTCTTCCCCAATTTTTTCACTTTCACACAGTCTTATTAATATTCTTGCCTTTTGTCTTCATCCTTTCCCCCCTCTTCATGGCCTTCTTTCCCCTTTTCATTGAGTTTCTTTCTTTGCACTCTTGACTTTTATTAATATGGACAGCCCTCATCTGTCTCCTTTCGTTGTATAAAGAACAGCTAAATGAGTCATGTGACAGTCGCTGACATATTGCACAGGTGACGCACTTCACCGCACTTCTGGAGTCAAGAAAAAGTGCAGAAAGTTCTGGTTGGTGGAACTGCAGAATTGACCCAAAAGAGGACATATTTATGGAAAGTTCAAAGACCGTAATGTTAGTTTTTGTTATTTTTTCTCTGACATTTCAAAATGTCAGAAAAAAAACATTATTAGGGGAGCTTTACATATTTTGGCTTCACTCCCAGGCGGCTGTTGCTCTGTTCATCTTAATATACACTCTATGGTCTTTCACCATCCAGCTTAATCTACTCCATTTATTTCTTCATCTTGACTTGCTTGTTGACCTTTTTCTTTAAATGTGTCTGACTTTTAGACCTCCACTTGGCGGCAGAGTTGGGGAAGACTCTTCTGGAGAGGAACAAGGAGCTGGAGGACTCCCTGCAGCAGATGTACATCACTAATGAAGAGCAAGTACAAGAGATCGAGGTATGACTGACAGATATAGATTAAGAGCTTTCCAGAGAAAGATTTTTATATTGTTATTTATAAATATGAATTTTGAAAATCAACTTTTGAGTATAAAAACTAGGGATGCTCCGATGCATCGGTTCAACATCGGTATCGGCCAAAATTGGCCCTGCTGACAGACATTGGCACCTCGATTCATAATTTGGCATTTGTTGTTCAAAATCAAAGTTTGGCTGAAAGCTGATCTGGTTCACCTAACTACTAATTCAGAGAAGAGGGTTTTTATTGGGCAGATGAAGTCACCTGTTGACTCTGATTTGTTTTCATTGTCAAACACGAGAGAAAATGTTGCATTGTGGGAGTCGGACAACAAAAGAAGTCATGAAACAAACATGGGAATCAGCAATCGGCTAGATAGTTATTTCAAACGTCGGTATCGGCCCTGATTTTCACAATCATGCATCTCTAAACAAAACCAGTTCCCCCACTCCTTGAACTAAACCATTTATTTTATTCCTTCATTTTTTTTTAACATATGCATGAAGTACAGTTAATAGAAGGGGCATTTGTTACTCTCCCTTTATTCTCACATTGAATGAATTACAGAACAGTGAATGGTTTATATTGGATAAATACAATATGAGGAATAACAACATTTAAAATGTTAGTGTTAAAATGGCTTTAACCATGGACAAAACAAACAAAAAAAGTCTCCCCTCACATCTCATGGTGACTTTTTTTTTGGCTATGCTGGGACTTTTGATCACATCACATGACCTTTAGAAAAAAATCAGCAGAATACAAAGTGAAAAATCAGATTTTCAAACGTCCATCATTTTATATAAATGCTAAAAGCCATCTGCAAAGACATTTTGAAACTGGACAGACTTTTTAGTGACATTGAGGTGGGATTGTTTTGTCAAATTGAAATGGTTTAAATAAATATATAAATATATTCAGTAAATTAAAACAAACTGATTGTTAACAAAAAATGAGTCCTCTTCTTGGCCTGTTTTTTGTGATCCGATGTTCTCTGAGATTGTTGCTCTGTTGTGTGGATTCATGTAAATTCTCTGCATAGGAATTAGTAGAGACAAGCATGCATTTGTTTTCGTCCCACAGTACCTGTCTAAGCAGCTGGACGTTCTTCGGGACATGAATGAGCAGCATGCCAAAGTGTACGAGCAGCTGGACGGGACTGCCAGAGAGCTGGAACGGACCAATCACACACTGGTGATGGACAGCAAGGCCTCGCATCAGAAGATAGAGAGGTTAGTGCCACCGGAGGTTTTCTGCTGCTCCTCCTTTCTTTCATATTCCTATCCACCCTCTAAACATGTTCTCTACCTTCTGGACAGGCTCACAGGAACCATCGAGACTTTGCAGAACCAGGTGGAGTCTCTCTCAGGGCAGGTGGAGCAGCTCCGCTCCATGGAGCAGCTCCGAGTCAGAAGGGAGAAGAGAGAGCGACGTAAGACCATCCACTCCTTCCCTTGTCTGAGGGAGCTTTGCACAGCACCCAGGTACTTGTCATTTATAACAACTAATCCCTCAACTTCACCAACTTCATTAGTTTTCAACTTCATATTTGTGTGACATGTTCACAGGTATGAGGATGAGTTTGTAGTGGGCAGGGCGGAGAGTTTTTCTGTGGATGTGAAACCTCAACCATGCGAAGAGGAGAACCAGCATCTGAGGGTGGCGGTGTCGGCTCTGCGAGCGGCTGTCCGGACTGAGAGGGGGCGTCGAGAGGGCGTGGAGAGGGAGTGCAACCTCCTACTGGCAGAGTTCTCCCGGCTGCAGACTCGAGTCCAGGTTAGTGCAGATTGGGACTCTTAATCAACACCACAATGATCCGGTTCATTCGCTGAAATTAACTTAAGCCTGGCTTACACTGTGCAACTTTTCTAGGATTGTATAAACGTTTTAGATATATGGATACAATGTTTCAGAATAGAGAAACGCTGGGTTGTGTCTACAGACCTCCCTTGTCTCTCGTGACTATATTGTACTCGTGCGCGACTTCCGCCAGATACGTTCATGACGTTATCGTCAAACATGTGTGACGTAAATCGGGGCGTCCCCGACGATCACGGAGCAGATCGGAGACGTTAAGATTGGAACTTTGTGCCACTCACACTACAAGATAAGATCTGGACAGATAATCTGTTTTGAGCAGTCTTGAGTCTTGCGACTGTCGGGAAGGAGGAATCTGACCTCAAATTGGCCCAAGTATACTGCAGTATGAGCCAGGCTTTAGTCACAGAAATGGGTTAAGTAATTCAATAATTATACTTTTTGCATGATTTGACATACTTTGATTTTTCCCTTATTTCCAAAAGTTAGGTTTTGTACATCTTGATTATGGAACATTGTCTTGAAGGGATATATTACAGCCTAAAGAAATTATGCACAGGAATCCTGGTGATGAGGGCGCTGTAGGTAGACTTCTGCTTAGGCACTGTTGATCACTGGCAAAGCACTAGAAAACTAGACATACTTGCACTCATATAGTGAGCCAAGATACCGCTGAAGTAGCAGATACAAACTGGCAAACAGACGACTCTTGAGAGGGAGTATATCAGCAGCCATTGATTGCACCTGATGAGTTGCAGCTGTTCGTAATGCGCACCTCAGCCTCTGACAACACACCTCCCAGACTCTGCAGCAAAAACAAGAAGCACAGGAAACAACCAAAATCCTACCCAAAGCTAAACCGAAAACACCCCAGTATAAACACACCAAACTAAATAATGAGACCCACACTAAGCCAAAATGGGGAAAAAAAGAGTCCCAACCATGACAATTTCCAACACAATCAAGGCAGCAGTAGACAAGAAACTCCTGTGTTCTGAAGGTGAGATAACTGTATTTACAGGGATGTTATAGCTGTTCCTGTTTTACCCCTAACAAAGAAAACACTCTTTTAGGTTCTGTCTAAATGTTGCCATACAATACAACTCTGTGCTTTCAGTGGCAAGCCATGACAACCTGTTTGAAGCCGACTGCTGAAGCAATTACTTGAGCCAGAGTCTGAGACTCTTAAACTTGACCTTTATTGGAAATGAAATGAAACTCATGGAACCTGTAGAATATATTTGAAATTGTGTTTTTCCTTGTTCCCAGGATGCTGAGAGCTGCCAGGGGAGGGTGCGGGAGCTGGAGGTGGAGCTCCAAGAGCTGCAGCAGCTGCGTCGCGCTCGGACGTTCCTGCTGGGCAGCGAGGATGATGGCGTAGGTCTTACTCAGACTGTCCTCAACAGTACCCCGGAGACGGACACCTTCCTGGAGGTGGAGGTAGGGGAAACTGGAGGAGGCGTTCGGGAGGAGACAGAGGGCGGAGGAGGTGTTGGAGGACAGGCTCTCCCTGAGTCCAGCCCCGTGAGGAAAAGTTGCAGTGACACAGCACTCAACGCCATTGTGGCCCGCGATGCGTCCGGCCGCAGGAGAGGCAGCTACGCTCTTCACGCCAACAGTGTGAGGAAGAGGGGGATGTCTATCCTCAGAGAGGTGGACGAGCAGTATCACGCTTTACTGGAGAAGTATGAGGAGTTGTTGGGGAAGTGCAGGCGCCATGAGGAGAGCCTGTGTCATGCCGGTGTCCAGACTTCCAGACCCGTCTCCAGAGACCCGTCCATGAAAGACTGTGCCATGGGCCCCACCCCGGCACCTCCCTCTACCCCTACGCAGTCGCCTTCAACCCCTGAAGCCATCGAGAGCATCAGCAAGCAGGTGGAGGCGGTGGATAAGCGGCTGGGACAGAACACTCCAGAATACAAGGCCCTTTTTAAAGAGATCTTCTCTCGTATCCAGAAGACCAAGATGGACATCAAAGCTACCAAAAGTGCTAAGGCAAGCAAGTCAGGCAAATCTGGCAAATCTAGTAAACAGTAATGGTATACCGGTTTGGAAAGGTGTTCTTATCACAGAGTGAAGTGCTAAGATTTGAGAAGAGAGGCCTTTTATAAGGGGTAGAATTTGACGTAATTGACTCAAAGATTTTTCGGTTTTATAAGTCTGTTTAGTAGAGGTGACCTAATTCAAGATACTCTTAGAGTAACAGTCTCTGTTAGCGTTCCAAGTCTCCTTATACACCCATGGAGTAATACTACCCCCCCCCCAGGTTAGTATACTGTTTCTGATTCCATTAAGAAGGTCACTCTGACTTCACAAACAACAGACCGATTCTGTGACTGACAGATGATTAATGCCACACTGCGACACTGCTTAGATCTCTGCAAGGCGATGTCACCTGAAGTCCAAAAACACACCTTTAAATTCTGTTCATCAGTATAAGAGCCGCCAAAGAAGCAAAACTGACATCTTTAAACTCTAACTCAAGTTTAAAAATACATAAAATTCTGATAAATTCTGAATACATTATTGCGGGAAAAACTTGCGGAATTCATTCTTCAAATACGAAGTAAATGGACTGGTTGAGAACTAGTGACCCCCCCCCCACACACAGTAACCAGAGTAACAACAGTAAAAGCAATATGCTTCTCATGAGCCTCAAGTGCACTAAGCTTCACACAAAAATACACCAGAGAATGACCCTCTGATGAACACACGAGTGCAGAACTAAATTGAATATTAAGATAAAGTTTATTATAATGGACTCTACTAACATGTATAATTAGAGTAAGCTTAATGTGATCCTCTCAGGCCACATTGCTGCCTTCCTCAAGAATTATCTGGAGGTGCCTATTACATATAATATTATAGAGATTAATGCAGTGCTAAAATTTAATAAGACTGTAATCTACATGTCTACTCTTTTGCTGCGGTGTCTATGTATGACCTTACTACTGCTTTTTAAAAATGTTTGCTGTGCCTCACCCTGTAATCTAGAGATTTAGAGAAATGTAATTTCTTCCTCACTGATAATTAGATGATCTTGTCTGAATGCTAAATATGAAGCTACAATCAGTAGCCAGCAGCATTGAAAGTGGAGAGGTTGAGACAGCTAGCCTAGCATTGTTGTCAATGACAAGTTGTGGGTTTTCTGGTGGTTTACACCAATGTATTTATTGACAGGAAGCAGAAAGCACAAGCTGTTTTTATTGGTGAGCTTTAGAGGCTGATGTTGTTAGGCTTTGAAAAATAAGCAATGCAGTGCTGTTACTCCATGTTTTCACTCGTTAGCTTAGCAAACTAACCCACAACTGGCTGTTTTCGCTAACAGACATGAAGATGGTATCATTGCTGTCAACTTCCCGCAAGAAAATAAATTAGCATTTTTTCAAAGTGTTGAAGCAGTGATGAAAAAAAAACTTTAAGACATTATTTTTCAATGCTTTTGGGGGTGCTAGTAAAAAAAAGGCATGCTAACTGTAAAACTTGAGGAAGTGTAGCCTGACTAGAAACTGAATTTAAATGTATAAAATAGATACCTTCTCCCTACACTGTGTTAAAGTAATGAAGTATATCTTCAACTGGACTACTTCAGCCCATGTGGGCAGCAGTAACGTTGCTAACTGAGATGCCAGAGGCCTTTATTTATAATAGTGAGTGACATCAACATTAGCTTTAGGCTAGGTAGTTAAATCTGTGTTTGATTGTGTAACAGTGAAGCTCCTACTAGTGCTAAATAAGGCTGCTGTCTTGCAAAAGACAATCTCTGGAGATTGTTATGTTCACTATTTCCTGGGCATTATGAACACTCATCATACAAAATATAAACATCCTGAAGTGAACTGTGTAATAAAGGTTCAGACCAGATAAAGCAGACATGTTTAGTTGTCGGAGAAATAGACGAGTCAATAAAAAAGAAAAAAATGAAAGAGGCATAACTGTCATTGCGTTTGCAAAAGAGGACATTGAACGAAGACATCATTATAGTGTTGTAGTCAAGACCAGACTAACCAAGACATATCCAAGACCAGAGTGCTCAGAGACTGAAACATGACCAAGACATTTAGGGATCGAGACCGAGTCAAGACCAAGACCAAGGCAGGGCGAGACCAAGACCAGACAAAGACCATAAATATCACTGAAAAATCATCATCTTGTGTGCAGCAGGTGTGTCACACACGAAAAAAGTAAAATAAAAAAGTTATTGTGAAGGGATTTCCTTCTGATCCCAGTTATGACGAGGAAAAATAGCCTATATGTGGTGGTTTTTATTTAAAATCCAGAGTACCCACCCAGTCGGACACCGAGACAAGACCGAGTAAAAATGCTTTTGATTCCGAGACAGAGACCGAGACCTTCTCAAAGTAGTCTCAAGACCGGTCTTGTCTTGAGACCAAGACTGATTTCAAAGAACTACCAACAGTACATCATCAACATTATAAACAGGCAGGGATTAGGAGCCTTTTTAAATAATGCAAGAAGTAGAGAAAACTGAAATTACATATGTGAGTAAAATATCCAGAGGAGCTTTTTATACAAGTGTTGAAACTATTTTCCTTTACTAATACACATATACACATTGTGCAACCAGTATAAGGCTTAAAACCAGGGCTTTGTCTAACACCTAGCAGTCTTACCAAACTATAAACTAACCTGCAAATATATTGCACCTTTTATCACAACTTACAGTACCTATGCCTTTTTTAGAGTAACCTGGGTTATAATAATGAATGTTACAGCTAATTTCTTATCTGGTTCTTCAGCGAAGTTGAAGTAACAGCCAAGTTTGAAATGTTTCACATATGGGAGAGCGGACACCCCGAGGAATCCTACACTCGTGTCTGGAGCTGATGTGTGTGGAAAGAACAAGAGAGATGCATGTTTGGCTGGAACTTTGTTCGGAAATCAGGGAGGAATCATGTAAAAGTTTTTCTTGCTCTTGCAACTAAGAAATTCTGTTTGAGGGCTGTGATGTTTGAAGTGATAGCAGGTTGATTGCTCATTTCTTGTGAATTGTCAAGCAAGTGGATGGAGAAATATGTGTTAAGAAACGATGCCAAACCAGAGCCGTTCTTCACTGATAGAGGCTCACAGGGTTTCTGTACTGTAATGTCTTACCTATTGCACTTAAACGTGTCTGTCGCCTCATCTTTTGCATATTTAGACTAGCTCATATTACACTGTAGCTGTGTATTTATTTGTGCGTGAATGTTTATTTTTTCTACTTTTTCAGTGCCTGTATGTGAATGTCACTAACAAAATGTCAAAATAAAGCTATTTAATTTGCTTTACTTTTCTTACCCAGTTTACATGTGTGTATTATTAGTTCATAAGATATTGGAATTAAAGCTAGGTCTGCTCTATTAATAGCTCATATCTCTACTGAGTCTAGACCTCATTTCCCCTGTCAATAAAACATTGATCTAATGTGACTCCATGTTGTTGTTTTTACTGCATTTATAATGATACGGAGTGAGGAATTGGAGAAATTGCAGGAGAAATCTTTTATCAGCGGACATCCCAATGTGACATATGCAGAATGAATGCTGTAAGCCGAGGAAACAAGTTATCAATAGTCATAAAATAAATGGATGATAAACCCAGAATATGACCTTTAGCGGGATATACACTGTATGGTCTGATTGTTTGTCTGACCTGATTTTGGACTGTTTTATGCCTTTATATAGGAGGACGAGGACAGTTAATAGAGTCAGAAATTGTGGAGAGAAAGAGTGGGCATTGACATTCAAGTAAGGATCAGACTCAAAACCCGGGTTGCCCACTTCTAGGAAAACAGCCTCTATGGGATACGCCAACTAAGCGCAAGGCCAACCAACATCCCCTTCTGACCTAAATTTGGGTCAAAAGATTTTTAAGGTGATGTTTGCTCTGTGGTTTACGAGCATCAATCATCTCCTCCTGGCTGCCACTGCCAATCTGTCCATATATGCCATCTATCAAGATGTACTTCTTGGTGGATTGGTGGCTTATGGGTTTTGGTTGGCTATCACTTCACGTGTTAATTATTTTATTTAAAAAAAAAAACTGCATCAATTGTCAGAACAATGGGGTTTGTAAATTGTGATTAATTTCTGAAAAAGCCTAAATTTTATTTGGGGATGGTCAAAATCTTGGACACTTGAAGCAAAGTAAACATTAGAGCCCTTTTCTGACTGGGCCTGTGCAAAGTGGCTCACTGAGCATCTGTGGAGGATCTGAAATAAAGTCTAGACTCTGGAGAACCTTCCAAGTCCAGGAGACCATGATAGGCAGTTCCAGTATGCTAAAACAGGGTCCAAAATACTCGATGTGATTTTTAAATGGGGGTCATTTTCATCCAACCACTGTGAAACCATATAGAACACCAAACCATAGACATGTTCTTGGAAGGTGGGTTTTGTTCAATAAGGCCTTTAAGTTCCTGCAACCCAATGTCATACCTGTCTTTTGCACTGGGAGAAAAGCAAGTAAGTAGTAGGTCTTATAATATTCAATTCAGTTCAAATAACTGTATTTGTCCCCGGGGTCAATTCAAAGGCACTCAGAACAACATAATGACAGTACAAGCTCTTAAAAAGCAGGCGAACACAACACATTCATAGCTTTTTGTTGAAGTCCATCATTAGCTAGTTAAGAAAAAGTTAAGAAATGTATTTTGATAAGAGGTATATCATTTTAAAACTATACCGGCAATGCATGCTTTTCTGAACATAACACAGTGTAGTGTACAGTACGATTCTGAAATTATATCTACCATATGTAAGTTCAACTCAAATACTCCGACCGCGTGGCCTAATGGATAAGGCGTCTGACTTCGGATCAGAAGATTGAGGGTTCGAGTCCCTTCGTGGTCGACTTTTGCTTCTGCAGTAAGAGCCAGTTTATCTTTATCGGTTTGTATTCTTCTGCCATCAAAATACATACTGCAGTCAGAAGTGTCCTGAATCCGATTTATTTTGCTCCTATGTGACTCATCTCTTAATGACAGTGTGAACAATTTGCAGTCCATGGTCACATTGAATCTGAGCTTTTCAAAACAGCTTCGAGCCACTTTCGTCATGATGTGGATTCCCACACGAGTCTGCTCCAGGCCATATCAATACATAATATATATATATATATATATATATATATATATATATGTAAAATTAACTAAGCAATTACTTACATAAATACATTAGAACACTAAAATTCTACAGAAATATATTTTTCATTGACAAAATAATTGTATTTATGTTTTATTAATGTTATTTTTTTCCTGAATTATTCATATTTATTTATGCATTGATTCGAGTACTTGTTTACTTCTACTGAAGTCATTTATTTATCCTTCATTGCAAATAAAGCAAATTAAATACATAATGAAAATGTAGGGCCTAGGAGCTCTCATGAGCAGAGTGGCGCAGCGGAAGCGTGCTGGGCCCATAACCCAGAGGTCGATGGATCGAAACCATCCTCTGCTAGCTTTATTTTATTCCTGCTAGTTTTACTCTACCTTTTTGTTTCTACATTGCCTACATGTTTCAGTGGGATAAAGCCACTAAAATTGGACAAAAGATGGTTTGTCTTATTCCTCTAAGTGAGTATTAGTTATAAATATTGATTTGAGGATAGTCGGTCATAAAACATGGAAGTTATTGTAGAAAAAGGAGAAAAATATTGATTTTTTAATAGTTAAATATTAATTAATTAATTAAAACCACTAATATTGGACAACATTGGTGTGTCTCATTGCTCCAAGTGAATATTAATTATAAATATTTATTTGAGGATAGTCGGTCATAAAACTTGGAAGTTATTGAAGAAAACTGATTTAAATATGGATTTTGCCCCTATGAAACAGTAATTTGTCCCTAAAGTCGGTCTCCGTCGGCTACATGTTTCAGTGAGTGTTGAAGTCAAATTGTAAGTTCATTAAGACTGAGGACATGTTTTATTGCTAACCTTTATTTACCAATGTACAAATTTATTCCACATTTTATAATGCATTTCCTATGATTTAATTTATTTTGTGTACACATTTATTTATGCATCATTCATTTTGATACATTGTCCTTAGAAAACAACAGAAGAAATATAAATAATAAGTAAGTATTGACAATACAAGCATGAGAAGTTTAAATTTATCGTTCAATCAATTAGTCAAAATCCAGTCGTCTGCTCTGCTTGATAGCTGAGTTCATCTTCTTCTGTCTGAGTCTCTCCTTGTCCCTCTTCTGTAACCTGCACAGCAAGTCAACTGTTAATGAACAACACATTTATGATCAAGGTGTGTAGGCATTTTTTTTTGGTGTAACGCTGGGTCATACCTGGCTGCCCGAAGAGCTATGTCCTCTGCTGTAGGCTCATGTGGCTTCTTGCTAGCCTCAGCGATGATGGCAGAAATCTTTTGTATACAATCAGTGAGGTTTCTCTGCTGACTCCTGCTCAGCTCTGAGGTCACCAGCAGCTCCCCAGCCTTATTGATTCGGTTTTTGTTCTGCGACACCAAGCAATAAATAAACAGTTTACTTTAAGACATTTTACAAATTCAAAAAGACATAGGGGAAAAAAATCAGTTCATTTAATTACACAGTTCTTTTCATTACAATTTAATTTGAACCCTATTAGAAAACACTTAAAGAGAAACTGATGAAAATATAATGTACAACACTTTCATTTGAAAAATAACAGTGAACCTAACTATAAAATTGTTACCAGGCTTTAAGCATGACTCGAGGGCTTGGGATAACAAACCTTTTCAAAGATTTTGCGTCGAACTTCTTCTGGGATCCACTCCGCTGTTAGCAAATGGAATCGAATCTCTGCTTTTGTGCTGACTGTGAAAAAAGATGTCAATATAAAAAAAAAAAAAGGAATTTACACAGTATTAGTGAAGGATTCTGATAAGAGCTGTGAGGAGCCATACTTTCTCTATTCAAGCAACGACAGCGTTTATAAATAATCAACTTTAAGGACCTTTATTGACATGCTGACCACCAGGACCGCTGCTTCTGCTGTAAGATACTGTCAGACGGTCTAAAAGCCAGAAGGAGAAGAAATGTAATGAGGAAAAATACAAAAAGACAAAGTAAATATTTTCTTTATGTGATTCAGTTGAGAGCATATATATATATATATATATGTTTTTTTGTATTTACCTACTGGAACATGCACTTGGTCTTCCTGAAAATATAAAATAATAAACAGTTAAACAGTTGATTTTCCCTTTTCATGTTAATGTCATAAGACTATTGTACAGTGCGTTTACACTATGGTTTATACAGGTGATAGATTGTTATTTATTGACTGTATATCTGTGAACCTCTGGTTGAGCCTGAGCATTTTAACCATTGACTTTTTGTTATTTTGGTGATGTTAACTGTTTCCAATAAATAAACTACATTTTTAAGACTTGGTTAAAGTAGGCCAGCTTCCAGATTAAAATCATATTTTTGTTTAAGCCCTACTTAACACAAATCCTGACTTGTGCAAGAGGTGGTTTTCGCAGTTAGATATTAAAAGAGAAATGGATGTATTCCTTGTTTACCTTGGTCCTGTGTAGTCAGAATTCTAAAGACACGATGGCTGAATTGTGCTGCTATTTAGCTCACCTGTGTGATGTCAGTCCCTCGTGTCGCGTAACCTATAGTCGGTTGTAAATTGTTGTTTACGTCTCTTACAACACTCCTCAGTTTTGCAGCATGTGGAAAGATTACACTCCGGAGTAAAGAAGCTCGTCGGGCTATGTGTGCCGCCATGTTGGACTGACGTCATTACGGCGGACGGAGTTCGAGAGGACGACATGCCAAATAAAGTTAAGTGTGGACGCTAAAATGTCACACTTAACTGACGCTTCATACAGAAGTCAGTTATACGTCACACTTCTAACGCTGACACCGTTGTTGAGAAAGGATCAGGGGGGCAAAAGATTAGGTTCTACCGAGATTTGAACTCGGATCGCTGGATTCAGAGTCCAGAGTGCTAACCATTACACCATAGAACCACATAGAGCGCATATCGACACTTGATATATAAATATGTCAAAACTCAATTAGACACCATAGCAATACCAAACATTATAAACACCTGTTATCAACACAAAACCACATTCCACAACACATGTGCTATAAGTATCATGAAGTTTAAAGTGTGGGATGAGACACACTTAGTCCAGAGTTAGGTGAACCTTAAGGGGCTGCTGCTGGTCCATTGTCTTGGGATGAAGTCATTGTCAGGCGACATCTCTGCCGGCATTGATGAAGATAAAGATAAAGATAAAGATAAACTTTATTGATCCCCCGTGGGGGAAATTTGTGCATGAAGAATTTGACAAACTTACAACAAACAGGTAATTGATGCCTCATCAGAACCCTACAATCCTCACTAACAAAAAAGAAAGGGACTGTGGCTCAGTGGAAGTGGCAGCCACAATGTGTCCTTGGGCAAGATACCTAACCCCAAGTTGCTCCTGCTGCTTCGTCGGCGGTGTATGAATGCGAAGGAATGGGATTACTTACTTTTGATGGTCACTTTACATAGCAGCCTCTGACATCAGTGTGTGAATGAGTAGGTGTGACATGCAGTGTAAACACACTTTGAGTAGTCAGAAGACTAGAAAAGGGCTAGCTTAAGTCCATTTACCATTTACTAATACATTAAATCATAAAAAACATTTAGAATATTGGTTAATGGGTAATTAGTCCACATGCCTCCAATCTGGGACTCCGTATTGCAATCTATCTATAGCTTCTGTGAAACTTAATTGTCTCTTGGTGAATTCATTGGTTACTTTTGGCATGGGTGACTGTGGCTCACTGTTAGTCATCTTTAAACCAGAAGGTCAGGGGTTTGATCCCCCGCTGAGCAACCTCTGCCGTCAGTTTGTGAATGTGCATGTGAATTCACATGTGTCGTGCAGTGTGAACACTCTTTAAGTAGTCAGAAGACTGTAAAAGTGCTATACAAGCTCAAGACCAGAGGTATCCTTACACTGACATTGGAGCATTGAACCGGACTCTGTAGTTGTGCGAGCTTCAGTACCATCTGTAACCCTGCCTGCTGAAGCTAGTATACTGTCCTAATATAACAACAAAATAAATACTAACACGAGGTGGCAGCAGCTGATGCGGCCGACACAGCATCGTTGCGAAATGTGCCAACATGAGAGGCCATCAAGGCAGGGACGGATGCTGCTTGTCAACAGGCAAGGCAGGCAACCGCTTGAGGCCCCAGGCCAGTAGGGGGCCCCCAAGGCTCACAGAGTTTAAACTATTTAATATTTACAGTCTATGATTTCAAGTGACAAAACTCGATAAAGACAGGTGACATGTTAATTCAATTTAACATGATAATATAATGGACATACTTCACTTAATCATAATAGTAATAATAATTTTATTAACATAGCGCTTTCAGTCAAAGTGCTGTACAAAAGTTAATACAAAATATAGTTTAAAAAACATTTCAGAAATTAAGAACACACTCGGACTCTCAGAAAAACATACAGAGAAATCATAACTCATACACAACAGTAAACAGATCGGTCCTTATCTTAGCTTTAAATACCTCAACAGAACAAGCCTGCCTGATGTCCAGAGGTAAACTGTTCCACAGTGTCGGTGCACGAAAAGAAAAAGCCTGCTCAGCTGTCTTTTTCCTGACCTTTGGGACACTCAGAAGACCCGTCCCCTGAGAGCGCAGGGCTCGGGCAGGCACATAGGGGTTCACCAGGTCAGTAAGGTACAATGGTGCGCTGCTATTGAATATTTTAAAAGTTAGCAGCAACACCTTAAAATCTGCTCTGGCATGAATAGGGAGCCAATGAAGAGAGGCCAACACAGGGGTAATGTTGACTTAGGTCAAGGCAAGTCACTGTGAGATCACAGACAATGCTGTAAGAAATACATTTATAGAGCTTGAATTTACCACGAGGGAGCGCCTTTCTCACAGACTGTAAGTTTGGGGAAGGCAGGAGGGAAGTGGAACACTCTATCATTATCATATCATATCTCATATCATTGGAAAACGTTCATCCGGTCTTTGTGAGATATGCAATCTAGCAGAAACAGTTGAACATGTAGTTATTAAATGTAGAAAGTATGTCGCACATAGACATAACATGATGTCAGAAATGGAGAGAGAGGGACTCGTAAGAAGAGATTTCAAAAGTATTCTGGAGTGTGGGGAGAGGCGAAGATGCTTGTTTAAATATCTCTTGAGAACAGGTTTGTTGAGGAGGATTTAGGAATGTGAGTAATAATTAAATCCAGCAGATGGCAGTAATGCGACTTTTTGGATGCCAGCTGCCAATAAAATCCAAAGAAGGGGAAGTGGAACTCTTCTTTGATGGTCTCAGTGTCCGGAGGACGCCTTCAGCGGACGGACACTGATGGTGTTTTTAGCGAAACATAACAACCCAGTCGTCTAAATGTAGCCGTGATTAATGTTACATATTATATGAGATAATAGGACCGCGTAACAAAACAACCTTTTTTTTGTAAACTAAGTGAAAAAAAGTATTTTATTTCATTACGTATTGAATTATTTATAGCTGGTTTATTTTTAACTAGCTTAACAGCTATAGCTCGACGCGCAACGATCCAGATGCTGCTAGCTCCTTTATCCGCATTAACATTATCTAATGTTCTTACTAATCGTATTGACAAGTCACAAGTCTAAGCGGTGTATTTGCCATCAAAGTAAAGGTTATACGTCCTCAATTACTGAAGAGTGGACGGACATAACATTGGGCACCTGCAACAATCCTGTTTATCGTTAGCTTAGCTTGTTTACACGAAGATTTCGATTAGGCAAGGCAGGAAGTGATGATGTGACTACAGGGGGAGGTGGGTGAAGCCTCGGCAGTGAAGTCATGCGTGACTTGAAGTGTTCATTGTCTGAGAGAAACCAGCCCACTGCACGGTGGTGAGCAGGTTGATAAACCATCACTGGGACATTGAGCCTCTTTAGTACCCAACATGCCTGGGATGGTAGTGTTTGGTCGGCGGTGGGGGATTGCCAGTGATGACCTTGTTTTCCCCGGATGTTTTGAACTCTTCTTTCGTGTGCTCTGGTAAGTTGGGCACATTCTTTTAATCTCCACCTGAGCACTTTGGTTGCCTCGAGTTTAACTTGTGAAACATGATAACAGGCCTGCTCCACAGAAATGGGCTGGGGCCCCTTAAAGGCAGAGTGAAAAGCCATTTCATGATATCAGTGCATGTGAATGTTTGGCTCAGTTGGATTGGCTCTGATCTTCTTTTGGAGATGACTGGAGAAAGTTCATTGGGGTCAAAGCCTTGTGGTCTCCTTTCCTTTCTGCTGTATCTACTTTGGTGCAGATATCTGGCATGGCCACACACACACAGACATCAAGTTTCGTTCAAACCATAATCCAAAAGTGTATTTCTATGTTAAAGGGAATTATGAGTATTTCGCTTTAGCAATGTCATATCATGTGTTATTGCTTAAATCTAAGAGGGACTATGTTTTGGCAAACCTTTATTGAGCTGGGCTCCAGAAAGCTCTCACCTTCTGGGGGGGGGGGGTAAAAATGGGAGAGCTGCCGACTCCGATGTTGTTGTTGTTGTTTTTTTTTATCAGCTGCTTCTTTTCTCTTCAGGTGGATTGGCACCATGACCCTGTTCACTTATCACAAGGGTCATTTTGATTGTAATGGAAGAGGAGTTCTTCACAGCTATCTGGTGGGACTGTTGGTCGTGTTGGCGCTCATCATCCTGTCATTATGTGCCACTGTCTACGTCAGCGCCCAAGGTAAATCAGTTGTTTGTTGATCGTTATGAAGATATTTAGGCATGTAAGAACATTTTCAGGAGTGGGAACTCCGGGTTACGATTCTTTACATATTTTCTCCTTTCGCAACACGTTTCAAAATACAGGTGATTAAGCAATATGGGATGAAAGAAGTGTTCAAGACAGTTGCTCTGATTTTGTCTGACACATATTTCCACACATTCTTTCTCCTGAAATACTGAAATGTGTGAAAGCGAAACTGTTCAGAATCTATTTTAAAAGTTGAATTTAAAGGCAACTGGACTTCGGGGGAGATCTTGAAGACACTTCAACTCTTGTGCAAAAGGCTTCTTCGGTTCTAGACATTTTTTTTTGATTCAGCTTTAAATTTCCATGGCTTGTATGACTGAAAACCTCCACTGTCAAATTAAATATATAGTAGTAAGGGTAACATATATTTTTGGAGGCTGCCAAAACACATTTTGTCCTTTTGTAACATCTTAATAGTTCACTTCATACATAGCAGCTAATTAAACATCCATCTGTGGTGCAAAAAAACAAACAATTATTTTATAGGTTAAACAAAACTCTTTTATAATTTATTTATCAGGTACCATTACAAACCCCGGCCCACGGCGCTCCATGCCGGCCCTGGTGTATCTGCGAGCTCTCTTGTACATCCCTGAGCTGGTGTGGGCCTGTCTTGGAGCTGTCTGGGTGTCTGACGACAGCAAAGGTTGTGATCCTGCCACAGTGGGAGCTGTCATAGCGGCAGTAGTTGCCAGGTTGGTTGTTTAGAGTTGGTTCTATCATTTTACAAGTTAGCACACCATTTTATAGTCAGACAGGTGTTTTGGTTGAGCAACTCTCTTTCTGTGTCCCCAACAGCTGGATCATCCTGCTGTTCACTGCGATCGGTGTTGTGTTTGTGTTTGACCCGATTGGTAACCCACGTCCCCGGCCTGCTGACATGGAGCCGCTGGGAGTACGAGACCTGCAGAGCAACGAGGGCACCCAGTTCTTCTCCACAGCTCGCTCCCTGGCTGTAAAGGTGTGGGAGAGCCGGCTGCGGCTCATGTGCTGCTGTCTGCCACAAGACGAAAGCCACCGAGCAGCGTTCTCCAGCATCTCCCAGCTCGTCAGTGGATTTTTCTCTGTAAGTGGAGCCTTCTTTTCTTTCATCTGCCAGTCAGTTACGAGTAAGTTATATATCGTGAACAAACTGACTAAAGATGTAATTCTGCAAACGAATCATTCGTAAAAATGTTACAGGACACAGACCTTGTCCCCAGTGACATCGCAGCTGGTCTGGCTTTACTGCACCAGGAGCAGGATAAGATGGAGCGAAGCAGAGACCCAGAGGTCGAAGTTGATCACAGTCCTTCCTCCCCCATCGTGAGTACAGGAGTCTGTCGTCTTTGTCGCTATAGCAGACTGCAAAGAAGTTCAAAATATGAAGTAAACTGTATGAGTCATGTAAGTCTGTGAAGCATAACCCTAATCTTTAAAACATGCTTGTTCATCCTTAACCATTCAAAGGGAGAAGATTTGGAGACAGAGTTGGAGAAAGCAGCTCACTGTATGCAGTTTGCTGCAGCGGCTTATGGCTGGCCGCTGTATGTTTACTCCAACCTCTTCACTGGACCCTGCAAGCTCAGTGGAGATTGGTAAGCCACTTCTTACTTATCCGAGTCAGTAGGACTTCAGACAAATCACAAAACCAGCCAAGTTCGACTAGTACCTGCAGAAACTGACTAGGTAACCCAGGCAACCCATATTAGAATGCATATGTTTGTATCAGCTGTAGGAGTCATGCAGCAGAGTACGACATTGTGGGAGGAGACCACCTTGGCTGTCACTTTTCCTCCATCCTGCACAGCACTGGTCTGCAGTACAGAGACTTCATCCACGTCAGCTTCCACAACCAGGTAGGAATGTCAACTTTCCCCACTCAGAAATACCCCCTCCCCATCCACAATATGTTTGTTATTGAAGTAAACAAGCGGTTTTTATTTTATTTTTATTTGACAGATCTATGAGATTCCGTTCTTTGTGGCTTTGGATCATAAGAGGGAGGCTGTCCTGGTGGCTGTCAGAGGAACGCTGTCTCTGAAGGTGAGTTTGGACTCCGTCTGCCCAGGTTTCATTGTAAAATGACACTACAGTCTTTTTTATCAACATTTTGTTTCTCTCGTTTGTTCACAAAACATGTAAATGATTAGTTTAAAGTATAGATGCTGAAAGTCGTACATTTTCATGTCATGTGTGAACATGAAAACATGTCCCTCTGTACACCTGCTGTTATCCTCTCATCTCTTCTTCATGTTCAGAATCACTTCCCTATCTGTAGAGAGGGATAATGAATGTTTAAAGGTCACAGTTTTTGTCTACTTCTGGGTTTGCATCGCTTCTAAAAAGAGAGAAAAAAAGGCCTTAAATAGTGCTCATACAGAAAAGGAAGAATTAAGTAGGAAGTGAGAGTGATGAGTGTGTGTGTGTGTGTGTGTGTGTGTGTGTGTGTGTGTGTGTGTGTGTGTGTGTGTGTGTGTGTGTGTGTGTGTGTGTGTGTGTGTGTGTGTGTGTGTGTGTGTGTGTGTGTGTGTGTGTGTGTGTGTGTGTGTGTGTGTGTGTGTGTGTGTGTGTGTGTGTGTGTGTGTGTGTGTGTGTGTGTGTAACAACAAATGAATCCATACAAGCATCAAAGGTTAAAGATCCTTTTTTTATGGTGGTGATTTGGTTTCTTGCGTTTGTCTACAAGTCTGAAATAATCAAACAGAATTTTGTTCAACACACCCCGATTTCATTTTTGTTATAGTGCAAATGTGAGAAAAGTGCTAGACCAAAACCAAAACATTGAGTAAGAGGACAGTGAGGACAAAAAACACCAACTAGTACAGACTTCAACAAACGGAGACATCACAAAACAGGACTTCCCCAAAAATATCACTGATTTGAATTTGTTCGTTTGCTGTTGTCTGTGACTTTGTGTCTCATATGGGCCGTTAGTTTCCCAGTTTTTTCGTTAATTTAACTCTATAGCCATTTTCACATCTGCACTCCTGAAATATCTAGATCATTTCAGCAGGTCTCCTGATATTCTCCTCCGTCACTCCCTCCTCCCATTGGCTCGAGGTAAATTCTCCAGAGAAAATCCTACTGCGTTCTCGCATCGGAAAAAATACTAGCGGGTCTGGTAGGAGAAACTCTGGGTGAAGTCCGAACGAAAAAGTCTGCTCCTGTTTGCGTTCACACATACAGCTTCTCCGGCAAATATCAGGAGTTTTTCAGCAGTTTTCTGCAAGTGTGAAATCCCTGTCTGTCTGTCCTGCAGGACGTCCTGACAGACCTGTCTGCTGAATGTGAGAACCTGCCTATAGAAGGAGTGACCGGAGCCTGCTACGCTCACAAGGTAAATGTCTTTTTAAACACACACTGTGCATATGATGACATGTCCACTGTGTTTCTCATATAGTATGTTGCAAGCGATCTTAGTTTAACCCTTCTGCCTTACCCCCTCTCCCATCTCTTTAAATGCCTTGAAAGAGAAAAAGAGAAATGCATGTTGGCTGTTTGTTGTTGATAACATCTTGTTTTAATGCTGCATTGTCTTTGACTCCTGCAGGGCATGTGCCAAGCAGCAGGTTACATCTACAAGAAGTTGGTGAATGATGGCATCCTGAACCAGGCTTTCTCCATAGCACCGGTAAGAAGTGCCACTGATGTTGTAACCACTCTTCCGTTGCAGACTTTGCTGCGGCTATTCTTAATTCCTATTTGTAAGGAAAGAATTGTACATCAAGATTACAGTAAATACATTTGATTTGCATCCATCAGACTCATAATTTCTTGGATTTACACTCCCAGTATTTTGCCCCAAAGTGCAGAATTGCCATAATGTTTTTTTTTTTTTGCTTTTTTTGTGCTGTTGCAGATCTTTGTTTCTAAGCAAAGGTCAAACATTATGCACTATTATCTGAACATGTGATATGTTTCCTGTCTTCCTCTGTATGTAGGAGTATAAACTGGTGATCACCGGTCACAGTCTGGGAGCTGGCACCGCTTCACTTCTAGCCATCCTGTTGCGCAATTCTTTCCCCACCCTGCAGTGCTACGCTTTCTCTCCACCAGGGGGACTCCTCAGGTAAGGAAGATTAAACGCATCAAACTTTTGCAACTGCATAGGAAACAAGGACCGTAGTTAGCCCAGGGGTCTTATTTATAAAAGGACCTGAAAGAGATGTTTTACTTTCAATGCAAATGTTTGACAAAAATAAACTTGACCTGTAAGTGAACTTTTATCCATTCGCACAATCATTTTGAAGAAAGTGAATGAGGCATTTGATTGTGCCTCTCACGATTTCTTCCTGACTTTATCAAATGTAGATACCTGTTTCCATTATGTCATAAAAACATAAAACAGCAGTGTGCTTGTAGGAAGCCATAACACTTCTGCAGACACTCTTCAGTTTAAAAACCGAAATAAGACAAATCTTCAATCAAAGACTCAAAGTCTTTAATAAGGGCTGCTTCACCATCACATTTCACATCCTGTTGTGCAATTAGACAACAGAATTTTTTTTCAAACTTACTGACGAAATGATCATCGCTGGTTGCACAAATCCATGATCATGTGCAAAGGCATTACAGTGCATCAACCTTGAAATTACATATGTTATAATAATGTGCATAAACCACAAAGTAGGATTTTTAGTTTTGCATTAAGTGCTTTTGTGTTGCGTGACTGCACTGACCACTGCTGTTCTCAAAGAGCACTAATACTCTACCATCTCCCCTCCCCTCCCCTCCCCTCCTCCACCACCTGCATGTATGTGTGGATTGTGTCTGTGGCGTAAAATCCCTTTGAGTAGTTTAAAGACCAGAAAAGTTCTTTGCAAGCTCAGGTCCATTTACCGTTGTGTACAGTTATTTGACGGAATAAGTGATGCTAATACCTTTTTTTTTTTTTTTTGTTTAGTTTTCAAATCCATCGTTAACATAGAAATGTCTGAGTAATAAAATCAAAGTAGACATATAAATTGATAAATTGTTTATTTGAAAACCCACTTAAAAACCAACATGTACGATTCAGTTCCCATGCTCTCTGAACTCTTTATTCTTGTAAAATTGGATTTCCTGTTCTTTGTTTTGTTTTTCATGGTACAGTAAAGCTCTAGCTGATTACTCCAAGGACTTTGTGGTCTCTATTGTGCTTGGGAAGGATTTGGTTCCCAGGTAAGAAAAAGCTTTTTAATTTTCAAACTTTATTTATGTTTTTTTTCTTTCTCCTAGGAAACACAAACATACATGTATGATCAAATATACACATTCCTGTCCATTCCATGAACTTAATGTGCATATTTTCACACACCAATGTGACAAATATAAGCTTCCATTATCTTAATTAAATGCACAGTATCTAAATTCAGCCACCAGGGGGCTCTCAATCAAAACAATAACAAAAGATGAGGTCAAGGCTGGCCGGAATCATGGGAGTGATTCTCTCTGCAGAATGATTCATTGGCGACAGGTTGTTTACAGAGTTGGTGGAAAAGATCCGAGTGAGAGTGAAATCTTTGAATGGGATACCGGTGACAAAACTCAGATACATTAGTTACAAGTCTCGAAAATGTATATATCTCAGTTTTATCAAATGAGTTTTATCAAATGCCACAACTGTGTCCAGCTGTGGCTGGGTTTAGGGGGCATCTTATTGAAGTAGGATCTATATTAGGATAACATTTAGACAGTTCCTCTCTTTGTGAGATGTAAACGATGGAAGACTTTAAATTGAATCATTCAGTGTCCTAGAGAGAGTGAAGTAACGTGGATGCACTGTACAGTGTGTTCCCAAATCCCACGTCTCTGTTGCAAAGTCGATGTCAAGGTCTTCTTCCGAGGCAGATTTATTTTTCCAGGGAGGCCAATCTTGTATTTAATAAATGTTTCCTTTTGTCACTGAATCCAAGTCCAATATGGTGTCTAATATGTTTGTAACTGTCATACCTGGAAATGAATAGTGATATCTGGTAAAACTGCAGGTATCTAAAGTCTGTTATGATCTCACTGGAGAGTTTCAAACAACATAGAAATGCCATCTATGAAGAAATCCCTGAGGAAATCTAGTGTGCTGCCTATTTGTGACATCCACCATCACTGTTACTGTAATGTTTAATTAAAGCTGTATCATAGTTCTTAAGATGTAGTGGGTAGACAGTTTGGTTTTCGATGAGGTCAAAAATAGATTTGAACTGCACTGCAGACTCTGGTCTTCAAATGGCCAATATAGACGTGTTGTACTATTATAGACTCCAGCATGATAGAGTGTCTATATTTGGCTCGACCCTGTTATTACAGGCACAGGGGAGGAGAAAATGAGCACAACTTGCTCGCTCTTTTTTTTTTTTTTTTCCCCTCTGTTCCTTTTAACACTTTAACACGCACTGTTTTCCTTTTGCAGTATTCCCTTTTTCTTCTAAAAAATGTTCTTTCACTGTTTTTTAAGATTAAGCATTCCCAATATGGAGGATCTGAAGAGGAGGATTCTTAAAATAGTTTCCAACTGCAATAAGCCAAAGGTGAGATCCAGTCGAAGCTCAGACACTGGGGCCGTTTTACATCTACCAGTAAATCTTTTGATATCTGAAGTCACAGATGTCATTACAAAAGTATTTTTTTTTCTGTGTGTGCTGCAGTACCGCATCCTGCTGCAGGGGTGCTGGTATGAGCTGTTTGGGGGAGACCCTGACGACTTCCCCACTGAGATGGATAACAGGAGGGAGGAGGAGCTTAGCCAGCCGCTGCTTGGAGAGGAGTCACTGATCATACGCCACTCGTCATCTTATCAGAGCCTGGCGTCGGACGACTCACCTGCACACACAGCTGCACATTTACCTCTGTTCCTGCCCGGACGCATTCTGCATATCACAGAAGACGGGCCGTCACGGAGGTCTGTCTGCAGTTAGTTACAAAACTAGACAATACATTTACTATGAATATGATTTTTGTTAACAGAAACAAAGTGTTTGTTTGCCCTCTTGTGGTAGTTAGAAGTAATGAAGCTTCTATAGGTTGACTGATACATTATTAGGCTGTAACGCTATAGATACTTGAGATTCTAAAAGGTCTATATTGATTTTCTTTACACAACTAGTGATATGAATAATTGTTTTAGAAAAAGAAACCAAATTATTTTTTTTATAAAAGCAGGTTATAGTAGATTAAGATGCGGACAGTCATGTGAAACGTTTAACAAAGATTTCTCTGAAAATGTATTAAAAGTCAAAATAATACAGCAGCTCACAGGTGTATAGGCAAATTTTGTTAATTAATTTTAATAATATAAAAGTGGATCATATATCAAATAATACCTTTTGTGACGGTTTTCATTATTTGAAGGATTGTTGTATTTAAATGCCTTATGTTAAGCTTGCTGTACTGTCAACAACTAGCCAGGTAGAATGAGGCCGTAGACAAGTAAAAGTTGGATTTGCCACTAATTCCTGTGTCTTTTCCTCAGGTCCTGCTTTTCCCAGGTCCGGTACCGTGCTGACTGGTCCAATGAAATGGCGTTCAGGAGTGTTTTGATCAGTCCCAGGATGTTAGCAGATCACATGCCTGACGCTGTGCTCCGAGCGCTCAGCAGCCTGACTAGCGACAGACCCTTCCCCCTGTGCCCGTCGTCTTTAAGCAACAGCAGCCAGCACAATGCAATCTGAAATGTATCATTTAGACTCACTGTGCTCCTAGGCTGGATTGTAATCAGAGCCATGAAACCACAGAGATTGACATGTTGTGATCTCCATGAATGCACCTGATTTGTAAACATCTTGGAGCACGAGGGTTTTTGTTAAATCGCACTTTTCATAATTTAATTGATATAATTTGTTTTATTTCAAGTTCCTCAATGAGCAACTTAATGCCATGATCTTTGAATGTTCGTTGTGTACAGTATTTGACAGTGCTGCAGTTTAACTGTAATGTGATTGTGAACATTTTATGTTTGTATGAGTGTATGATACTGTCTTCCTTACAGGACTGAGGGGCAGTCTCATCCAAAATATGAAGATATGAGAGTTTTACCTAAAAATGTGGATGGAAGCATCACGTCTTTATTGTATAGTAAATGTTGATAGTCTTTTTATCTGTTTCAATATTTAAACATCAGGATGAACAGTGCCTATGCAGACAAACATTTGCTTTAAAGTATGACAGCGATGGTGGCAGTGTATTAACTGCAAGTTTTGTTCTGCATTTTCTAAAATGCAGTTTTCATAGTGCATGGTGTCTGGCAAAAAAAAGATAACAAAGGTAGAGAGTGTATTTGTACATTTTGTGGGAACCTGTTTACTTGCCATGGATATTACATCTTTTTTTTCAGGTAATGTATTATATTAAAGTTGGGTTTAACTGATGCCTGCATAACTATTACACAGCCTCAATAGATTGCATTGGATCCCTTGATCTAAATAAAAGCTTTTGTGAAGCACTCCTTTTTTACCCAGTCAGTTTTTTAAACCATAAAAATACAAGACAGTTTCTATGCCTCAAAACAGCAGCCTCTTGAATAAAGTTAAATATATTTTTTTTATAATATCTATTTGTAATTGATTCATACCTTGGCAAAAATCATATACATATTTGGCTGCGTGTGCAAATTTTATAAAAATGATGCCAATGCAATAGTTTAATATGGATTAACTACATTTTTTTTTTTTTTTTTTACCATATCCTTCAGCAACCCTGTTTAGCATGTGACGCAAGCGAGGCGTCCCGAAACAAACACATGAGATCTTCAAGTGATCCTCGTAAAATCCTGTTTCCGAGCATTGGCATGGATAAAATGCGGAAAGTCCAAGAGAGTCTGTACAATATCAAAGATGGCTGAAATAGTAAAAAAGAAAGAAAGACATCAAACTCCAGGCGCTCACATGCTTAGTTTGTACTGCAGCTTCAAGTTGGCATGGAAGTAATGTATGTTGTGAATCAAAGGCTGAATTTTGTTTGCGAGACAGTTAGAGTGGTCATAAGTTAACAGATGCACGCCATCTAATGATTTATTTTACAGCTACAACTAAACTTCTTTGAATAACTTGCTGATAGCCTACGGCTCGTTTTCCGCCCCCCTAAACGTCACATAACAGCAACTATATCTGAGCATCCGGACGGATGAAATTATTTATTCAGGTACAACATGTTGTGCAGACAGTAGCCATTTATTTGAATCCCTGTCATTTTTTTTTTTTTTTTGCTGAATACCGTAGTTGATACCCGCTTTCCTCTGTAATATCAAGTTCATCCAGCGGTGTTCTTTGCTTTGTCGTATAGCTGCATCCATCTCCGTCTTTCCGACAGCACTTGAAGGCAGCAGCGGGAGCTCATCTGTTGGACAGGGAAACTAATCAGGAGCGAAGTAAGACTTTTCCGTACTGCTAGCGTCGAGGCTAGCAAGCTTTTAAAGTCAGCCGTCCATACAACTACGGAGAGCAGTCTGTTAATGAAGTACAGTGTCTTTTCCTGTCCAGCACATAGTGTCGAGCTATGTTTTAGGAGCACTGTTTCGTTACTGTGCGGAGAGTAACAAGGCGGACAGCCTCTGGCCAGCTGAAGCTTGCGGCTAGCTCATTAACGTTAGCTGGGAAATAAGTGCAAGTTGGAGGCAAGAAAATGGAGCTGGACGAAGTAGTCCTGTATCAGGACGAGTCTGGGGACTCTACCATGATGTCCGAGCGAGTTTCAGGTCTGGCCAGTTCAATATACCGCGAGTTCGAGCGGCTTATCGAGAAATACGACGAGGACGTAGTGAAGGAGCTGATGCCGCTGGTCGTCGCCGTCCTGGAGAACCTGGACTCGGTGTTCGCTGTCAACCAGGAGCACGAAGTGGAGCTGGAGCTGCTAAAGGAGGACAACGAGCAGCTCGTCACCCAGTATGAACGAGAGAAGGCACTCAGAAAGCACGCAGAGGAGGTGGGTACCCCGACACACTGACTAAGTAATTGGCAACCCCGGATTATAGATGTAAAAAAAAAACACAGTGAGTGCTTTGGTATGACAAGATTTAACGCGGAACCCGATTCGTAAATCTGCCAATTCCCTGTTGTGATGCCTTTATCGATTAGAGATCAGAACTCATTAATCCCGAACAACTCACCTTTACAAAATGCACAATGTGTGGTTTCATTCGGCAAACTCACAGAAGCTCTCAAAACAAGTTTTTAGGTGAAGGATTACGCTTTTGAATCAGGTTGTCGATGTTGCCACGGCCAGCGTTTGGGCATTTTGACCTCATTTTGACAGGAAAACTTCTGTGAAGTGGAAATATGGTTTACTAAAGACTACTTGAATAGGTTTGCGAAGCTTTCCGGTTTCAGAGAACAGGTTGCTTGCTCTGTCAATTGACTGGAGTCGATGTGAGTTTGTGATAGTATTTGAGGCACACACTGTACTTTGGCTGTAAGTTTTTTTTTTTCTCCATGGATGCCAGCTTCTCTAAGGACTCGTTGTTATTGTTGATACAGCAACAGGGTTAATGCACAATGCACATCGTTGTAGTTTACATTGTAACACCTCAGATTCATGTAAATCAGGCCGTGATTCGCCAGGTGCTTGCTCAGTGCTTCCGCCAACAAATAGGCCTAAACATTGACTTAACATTCAGCTCCATGAATACAGTATGGGGGGGAAACCCTGCTATTATTGACATTACCTGATGCAAACAGAGCAGTCAGTGTTAGTACAGTGACACATTTAAACTGTGTTACGCCACAAAGATGTGATCTGCATTCAGACTGAATGTGTGTTTATGTTGTTTGTAGTTCAGTTCTCTTACACAGGACTGAGCCATGCTTATTTTTTTTAAACAACAACTGTTTCACAATGGTCGTCTTGTCTAGTATGTAATCTTTCATGCAGACTAAGCCTGTGTTAAATCCGTGGTGCAAACAGGCACGCTGATGACATGAAAGCATTTGCATCCATAGTTATGTGTTTTGTTCATTACGTTCTTTTATTTGGACAAACTCTTAACTTTCAGCTTTGCTCTTAACACCTCACCTCGCCAACACTGTCCTGCCATTACTGTTGTGGACTTCGAGTGATGAGTTTCCCTTTCAGCCAAAGAGAAAGTGGAACTTCCGTCTCACCTGTCGAACCGTAATTGCGCACAGTAACAATTTTAAGGTGATTGCTGTTCATGATAAGTGGCAACAGAGTCTGGGGAAGTGGAAAGTGTAAGTGGAAATAGTGTCACATCAGAATAGAGGGATCTATTCTAATTGAATTAATTTGCAAAACATTAGCAAAAATAAAACTGGATGGCAAGGTGTTAAACTTGGTAGTTCCAGATTTGCCTTGACTGAACATAACTAGAAAAACATGTCTTTGGAAATCAAGTATTGTTGGGCCTCCATCATTCCTCTGACACAAAGGCCAATCTTGAACTTTGAATAACAACGGAGTTGGTGTTCTGCTGTATTTATCGGTGACGGTGGAACTTGGCCCATGTTGAGTTCCATCAAGCACATTTTTCAACACATCATAACGAACAAAAAAACGACTTATCATGGAAACAGCAGTCCAACTTCACCTGTGTTCTGTTACATCCTGCCAGTTTAAGGATAATTATGCCTGTTATGCCTCCCCTGCAATGGAGGCTGAATGGTGGGTCAAAGTCAGTGGGCCTTTCTCAAACCCTACACCCTCTCCCTTCACACTTACACTCAGTTTGTGCGCTCCCATGGAGGGTCTGCCACCGAGTGCTATCCACTCTAAAACCTCTGAGTGTGGAGTGAGAGTGGAAGCGAGACCTCACCGATGCTTTGTTACTGAACAGTGTATCACCGCCTATTGTTCGCCATGGGAGATGTTCTGTATATAAAGGTTCTGCGTTATCACCTGCACAAACTTTTAACACGTAAAGGGAAGGTGTTAAAAAAAGAATGAATGTCAGCAAACATTTTTTTTCTCATATTGTGGAGTAAATTAAATGAGTCTGCCTGATGGCATTTATGTGGACAAATTATTTGAGTGGCATAAAGTCAAGGTTGTATAAAGTCCCTGTCTCCCTGTGATTGAGGGGATTTTGAGCTGATTGAGCTCGCTGCTGTATTTATCCCATCCACCTTAACGTTCTTTACTCTGCTGTGTGCGTGACGTCAGAGTCAGGAGTTCACTCCATGCCGCAGTGAGAGTGTGGAGGGAGCGGTTTCAGAAAGGCCAGTTCTGTTCTTGATCCGCCATCAGGGAGAGGTGTAATGGGAGGAAGAGATAGTGGCAATGTGTAACATCGGGAAAGAGCTAGATTTACTGCTTTGTCTGGAGCAGTTGGGATTTTCAAAAGAGCAATGTAATGACCATTTCTAGTTGCAAAAATAGCCTCTAAATCATAAACAAAAGGTCTACTTCTGTAGGATTACTTTCTGTAATGATGCCAAACCCTTAGAATAACAATCTGATCCTTATAGTTGCCCAAATAAGCACTCTTACATGTGGCATGCCACTGGTTCAATCCCAACAGTTTTATACCTACTGGTCATTTCCAACCCAACATTAAAGTCGGTCCCTGGTTTAAAAAGTTGCAGAATTACAATTTTCGTGCTCTTTAATGTGAACTATGTTTCATAAGTTTATCTAATAGTCGTAAACGTTTGTTCCAAAAATACTGTGATAAATAAGTGATACCCATATTTCTCTTTTTATCAACTATTGAAAACTTATGGAGTCATAATCTTTAAGGTTAAACAACCAATATTTAAGTCTGAGCCCTAGCTTTGAAAATGGGTACTGCAGTCTAAATTTAAAACGTTGGAGATCGTTGTCTCCCCCTGCCCCCTCCTCCCTGAGTTGATGAGCTCGAAGTTTGCCATGTGGTGGACACTGAAGCTTCAGTGTTTAGCCCAGCTCTGCATCACAAAACCTTTCTGCGTTTTAACCTCTCTACATGCTTCTAAAAGCATCACCAATATTTATCCTAGTTTGAGCGCGTTTCTGCTCGTGGAGCTTATTAGAAACATGCAGAGTAGAATTAGGTCGAGTAGAATCTTTTATATCTGAACCAGTTCACTTGGTTGGCCTTGATAACTGGTCTCATATCTGGCAAACCGAGGGGCGAGGGGAAAAACTGCCGTGTGGGACTGCAGTTAAAGCGCCTGCCTTCTGCCACAAAAAGTAACTATTCAGGACCAGAATCTAAACTTGTGAGGAGGACATACTGGCTGCTGCATTGCTGTCAGAGAAGCCATCACTTCAACATAGCATGTTTCCTTAATGTCTGGTGATATAGTAAGGTAATTTTATCATTTAATTCAGTATATATCTTACATATTGGACATTTAAAATCTAAAAGAAAATCACCAAGAAACCTGTTGTTTGATTGTTACATGTTTTACTTATTGAAACAGTCAGATCGAAATGAACATATTTTGTTTATTATGAGACTTAAAGTTCAGAAACTACTTAAAAGAACAAAAAACAACACAATCAACAATATTTATACACAATGTTCAAATGAACCAAGGTGGGATAGTGAGTGGTGGCCTACCTGGTTTAGACTGCACAAGTTATCAAACTGTTGATTGATAAAACCTCATTGAAACATAAAAGTTTAAAACATACATAAAATATTAGATAGAGGGTTGTTAAAAGCAACATAAAATTGTGTGTACAATACGTGCCGTTTTTGGCCACTCCTCAGTATTATCCAATCTGTTTGGTTGAACTCGACAGTTAAATGTTGGATGACGAGCACAACAGGTCACAAAGCCGTGTGTAAATAATTTATGTCATGCCACAACTTGTTGCTAAAGCATTCAGATAGATGTGCTCACACAGGATTTTCCCATTGGTATTTTACCGACTGACATTTATCTCGCCCCCTCTGACTGATGTGTGCTAAATACCTCATCTACGTTCTAAGCAGCCTTTCACTCAGACAGCCAGTTAGCTCTCATGCTTGTGTGATCGGTAATGTTGTTATGCAGAGAATGATGTCATAGGTCTCGTCCTTTAACTTTAACATCCCCTCTGTAGGAGAGGTCAGCCTCACTGCATGTCAGTGTTGCAACGTGAGTGAACAATCACAATTCAGGATGTGACATTTACGCCTATAGGAAGTCCAGACTGAGTCAGGATGAGGTCAGTGAACAGAGCTGTTCAGGATACAGTATGCGTTTAACTTTTTTATTCTGTACGTTTTATTTAACCTTTATTTAAATGGGTCGGTCCCATTGAGATTAAGGGAGACCTGACCAAGACAGTCCGCAGCAAAAACACAAAGTAACAGACAGAGACACAAAGGGAGACAAAGTATAATTCACTACTCGATACTAAAGTTTGCATTTAATACAGAACTATCCATGAGTCAAAAAAGATCTTTTATGGCAGTCAGTTGTACAACAAGGCTCGCTAAAAACATCAACATCCCAAAGAATCTGCCTCCCTGTCATTGATTTTAGATTTACTAAATTATATGTGCAATTTTGTGCATGTCTGATAATTAGAAAATCATTCCAGTTCCAAGTCATCCAGAAAATAAATATGAATTTCTGTGAAATGTTACTCCTACAGGGCATTGCAGTTCAGTCTTATTGTAACAAAATAAGTTTTAGACTTCAGTTATTGAAACCCAAAGCAGAATCAGCTCTTCTCTCAGTGCTTTCCCGTCTGCCCATTTTTGCAATAAAAAGAAAAGTCTTTATTTTCAGATCTGTTTAACCCTGACTGTGTACTTAAACACCCCTCTGGCCAATTTGGGGATATTCATTTGTGGCATGAGTTCAAATCAAATATATATACTGGCAGAAGTGTCAGTACCTGGAAAAAAAATGGTTTAAAACTATGTCGGTCATAACCATCTGAGAAATGTGACAACTCCTACATGTGTAATTATACATCCTGATGAAGACATCAGTGACATGTGAATATGAAAAATCTAAAAAGACACGCAGATCCCTCAGCGGGTGCTGGATCCA